TCGCTGCTCCCAGATCGGCACTGGGTTCTGAGTACTCACTTTTCCGAGTACCGCACTGCCTTATTGCTTCGCTACGTGAAGTCCATCCCGACGGCAAGGAAGGACTTGGTCCGGGACGCGTCCGTATTTCGTTCTGGTCGGGAATTGGGGACTTGCGCAGAGCGATCCTTAGGGGTTAAAGGTTCAAAATCAAATCTCGAAAGGGTCAAAGAGGAGAAAATGCGCCCTGATTTGGAGTTATTCAGCTTCCCAAGTTCTTCGGCATCAGAGCGACACGAGTTTCCACCGCAACGGGCACTGTCCTTGAAGGATGCCATAAAGGTCAGTCGAAAGAAGCGAGGACGACACGATATTCCTTCAATGCCGGCTTTTGTCCTCGAGGTTTCAAGTTTGGAATTGACAACGAAACAAGAACGAAAATGAGGGAGTCTCACGTCCTCGCGTTAAGACCTTTCTTACATTAAATGTTTCCCTCATAACTTGAAAAAGGGTTCATTTTTTGTAAATGTCTCCCAATACTTTTGTGTTCAGCTTTAGGCTCGTCCACACCAGGAAAGTTTTCTTGCATAGACAATGAAAGAATATTGCAGAAGAAAACTGAAAGAAAACTTTGAAAGAAAACTTTCAGAGATAGTCCAGACCTGGTTCAGACCAGAAACTTTTCTATGCAAGTTTTCTTTGCAAGTCGACTTGCAAAGAAAACTTGCATAGAAAACTTTCTAGGGTGGAAGAGGCTTTTCAAATGACAAGCCACTCGTCGAAGTCTATGGTGATGGTTCCATTGCCCATGAGAATATATAGGTTTCTTTGAAAATCCAGTGTGACCCGATGTGTGACTTGGCGATGAAGGGACGATGCAATTCTGCTTTCGTGAAGCAAGGTGAGAAAGTCATGAAACCAATGATACTTTTTCTTGTTGGATGCGCTTCCAATACCTCTCAAGTATTCAACAGAATTATCATATTCTACTCTTAATATGTAGCAAATATGGAGTGATTTCTCGATCAGCCTGTTTTTTTTTT